AAGAATACACCACAGACGACAAAGAAATAATAAATGAAGATGATGACCAAGAAGAAAACGAAATAGAAAACAACGAACTCAGGTCAGAGATACTGAAACTTTTAAAAAGCCAAAAGAGCGATGAAAGTCTCGTCGCGAATCTCCAAGATATACTAAAAAACAACGGAGCAGCGAAAGAGAAGCACATCGCTACTGAAAAATCAAAAGACTCAAAAATAGTGAGTAATATGATTGCAGATGAAAACGCAACGAAGAAGAAAACCAACAATCCCGCGCAAATTTTCGAATGGCAGCCATCTTGATTTCAACAGACCCCTAAGATGAGCGAAGCAGAGCCAATCGGAAAGCAGGATTCAAAATATCTGGCGCGAAAAGCCTTACCCGATGCAAAAATGAAAGAGAAATATATATATATATACCTCAGAAGAATCAGACACAGAGAATGAAGAAGATTCAATAGACATGCAAGTAAAATCAGCAATGAAAACGCTTTTTGCAGCATTTGGACCGAAACTGAAGGTCACTAAAAGATCAACAAAAAAACAAGCGAGCGAGCCAACGCCTCAATATCTACCCGCTCCTATCCAGACGACGAGAGCACCGACGCCTGAGCCCAGAGAGCCCTGCAGATACCGCCCCACGCCACAGACTAATCCAAGGACCAGCACCTTCAGCGAAAGAAAATGAGCGCCCGCTATCACCAGGACTCCAAAGATCGAGCCGGAGACTGATTCATCGGGAGAAGAACAGAGCGAGAGAGCTGCAGCAGCGAGAACCTCTCACGATGACTCCAGAAATGAAATGAGCAACGCGCATGCACAAGACTACGCAGACAACTTCGGGAGACATGAGATGCGGAGAGAATCATGCACTTAAGGGGGGAGGTAATTTCAGATCAAACAATGAAAAGTGTTATCATCAACTCACTTGACCCATCATGGGATAATTATATGTCACATTTAGACACAATCAATCTAGGATACTTATCCATAGAAAGTCTATCTAACAAGTTAATAGCTGAAGACAATTCAAGGAGGAGTCGTTATAACAACCACATAGAACACAAACAATATAAAAAGGTAGCATTTCAAGAAAGATATTATGAACCATTTAGATGCCACGATTGTGGGTCCAGAGAACATAATAGGAGGGATTGTCCTAAAATTCTAAGAGAAAGACACAGGTCAGAATATAGAAACAAGTACAACAACAGACAATCTTCCATTGATAGACATAGGTATAGAAGTCCACCCAACTATAGAGAACGTAGAGGGGGCAGAGACAATTCAAAGGATAGAAAGTCTGGTTCACTGAATGGGCTAGACAAACATGACAACATTAACGTACAACAACCAGAGAACAACAATTGGCTTATTGATTCTGGAGCAACCAATCACACTACAAATAATAAAAATATATTATCTTCTTTTGTAGAAGATAAATTTGTAATCAAAGTAGCTAATCAAGAAAAGGTTCAAGTAATAGGTAGAGGGAATGTAATCTTACCAGGTCTAGGAAAAGTAGAGGGGGTATTATTAATACCTGAGATACCTCATAACATACTTAGTGCGATAAAACTAAGCAGAGATTCTGACATTAACATTGTGTTCTCAAAAGGAAAGGCAACATTAGAGAAAAACAGAACAAACATAGGCACAGTAATAATCAAAGGAGGTCTACCTTATTTAATGACAAAGGAGAAATGGTTAAACAACATTGATTCAAATATGGAAGATGACAATGAAATAGATAATGAAGACAATAGTAACAGTGACAATGAGGAACATGAAGTAACTCATAACCACAAAGATACACACAATAAAAAAAAACCTAAAATAGGTAAACCAATTCACGATGAGTGTGCTCATGTTTTACATAGGAAACTAGGACATGCCAGTTTTCCTGTAGTGCAAAAGATGACTGAACATGCAGAAGGTGTTAAAATAAAAAATTGTGAAAACTATTTGGAATGCTCAGCATGTAAATCTACAAAACTCAAAACTAGTCCCAGACCTAGGAAATCAACGAGATCAACTAACAAAATTTTTGATTTGGTACACATGGATCTAGTTGGTCCATTAACACCATCAATTACTTATAAAAAACGTTACTTTCTAACCATTGTGGATGATTATAGTCGTTATGGATTTGTTTACACATTAAAACATAAAGATGAAACCTTTCAGAAATTTAAGGAGTTTTACAAACGTATAGAAACACAACACAATATTAAAATAAAACAAATCATGACAGATAGGGGATGTGAATTCATGTCTAAGGAATTCTCCCAATGGCTAAAAGACAAAGGAATGTTACATTACACATCTAGCCCATTTTCTGCATTCCAGAACGGAGTGGTAGAGAGAAAGAACTCAACATTACAAACCATGATTAGATGCACATTAGAGGATGCTGGCTTAGGTAAACAATTCTGGTCAGAAGCCCTACAATACTCTAATTACACACAAAACAGAACCTGGTCCAGTATTGTAAATAAGACACCGTATGAAGCAATGTATAACAGAAAACCAAAACTAGCACACATGCACATATTTGGAGTCACTGCAGATGTACACATACCTAAACAATTGAGGCGCAAAGGTGAAAACGTATCCAGAAGACTTAGATTTATGGGATACGAGACAGGTACAAAAGGATACAGATTTATCGATAGTAATAACAAATTTATAGTTTCCAGAACAGCTGTGTTCCATGAACAGGCCAACTGGTCTAGAATACATTTTAACGAAATATTCCCAAACACCAACTCAGGCACTAAATTCCAAGAAAAAGAGGATAGAGAAGAACATAGTAACGACACGCATAAAAATAAAGTCAAAACATGGACAAATAGTCAATATAAAATAAGAACAGATTCATTAACAAAAAAGGAAGCAAGGTATATGCATGACAATGATACTAAACCAGAAAGAACATTCAGAATTAGCAGAAACCAAGTGCCAAACAAATACAAAGATTATGTAATGCATATGGATAGAGAACTACCAACACCTAATACATATGAGGAAGTGTTAAAACTTCCCCCTGAAGAAAAGAAAAAATGGGAATCAGCCATGAGTAAAGAGATGGATAGTTTACGAGAGCTAAATGTATTCACACCCACAATTGCACCAAAGGACAAAACCATCATTGGCACTAGGTGGATATATAAAATTAAAAATTTAGAGGGAGGCAATAATCTATACAAAGCTAGATTAGTTGCACAAGGTTATGCACAGAAATATCCCGAGGATTATACAGATACATACTCCCCCACAGTAAGAACAGAGAGTGTCAAAACAGCTCTGGTTATAGCATCAGCACTCAACCTCGATGTATTCCAATACGACATACAGACTGCATATTTACATGCAAAATTAGATAAAGAAATATATGTGAGGGCACCCCACAGTCAATACACAAACAAAAATGAAACTTGGTTACTAAATAAAAGTTTATACGGGTTGAAACAATCTGGTAAACAATGGTATGATTGTTTAGTAAGAGTACTCAAAACTATGAATTTCAATGCCACTACTGCTGATAATTGTTTCTTTGTCAAAAAAGAGGATGATTCACTAGAATTTGTATTGATCTATGTGGATGATATTTTGTACATAGGTAAACATAATGAAAGGAGAGAAGCATTTGTAACAAAACTGAATGAACATTTTTCATTGAAATCTTTGGGTAAAGTAAATAAGTATCTTGGTGTTCAAATCAGTAAAATCAGAAGAGGATTTAAGCTTTCTCAAAAGGACAAAATCATAGAGCTCTTGAATAAATGTAATTTAAGTAATGCTAAACCTTGCGATACTCCAATGCAAATTGATTTTTTGAAGAATACAGATGAATCATCCCCTGAATTCAAAGACAATACATTTTACAGGTCAGTCATAGGTTCACTTCTTTATATCTCCAATTGGACTAGACCTGATATTACTTTGCCTCTCAACTTATTGTCCAGACATGTTAGCAAACCATCACTATACCATTGGGAAGCTGTCAAAAGGATATTAAGATACTTGAAGAATAGTTTAGACTTCTGTTTGTTATTGGAACCTAATACTGTCAAAGAGCCCATCCTCACATGTTATGCCGATGCGGATTGGGCTGGCGATACCTCATGTAGAAAAAGCACATCTGGTTATTTATTTTTCCTTAACGGTTGTCCAGTTTACTGGTATACTGGCAAACAAGATTTAGTAGCCACTTCAACAACAGAGGCAGAATATGTTTGTCTATCTAAGGCAGCAAATAACCTTGTATGGTTTAATGATTTACTTTCTGATATTTGGAAGAAACCCACTTTGCCATTTATTATGCATGAAGACAATAAAGCTGCTATCGAAATATCTAGGTCTGATGCTATTGGACAAAGGTCCAGACATATAGATATAAAGTTTAAACATGTGAGACAATTATCTCAAGATGGATTTATCAAAGCAGTTTATTGTGAAACATCAGAGCAAATAGCTGACATATTAACAAAGCCTTTGCCGTCTAAGCAACATAAATACTTGACCTCTAAATTACATGTCTTATATTGTTCTGAATCTGATTGTAATTGTTGTATTATGTCGAATCGGCATTTAGAGGGGGATTTGTCACAAGTAAATGCCTTATTCTCCATTATGTAAATAGTACATGAACAGGGTATCAGGGGTTAACTTATTCTTCACCTCTTAATGTATTCATATTTCACCACTCCCATATCTAGCTCCACCCATTGTATATATAAGGAGCCGCATACGTCCATCTTGTGCTTCTATCTGTGAATATTCAGTGAATATAGAATGCCTTATGTAAATAAATAGTGATTTATTTGAATTTATAACTCTCAACTTATTTATTGAGTCTGATCCTGAAAATATCGTAACAGTGAGTTTCCATGGCTGAGTGTAAACCTGGGCCGAAGCCCAATATTTTAATACCCCACAACACAGTTATGGAAGCTGGTGGAGGGATGGAAGGTTAAACTCTATGGTTAATATCCACAGGTTGTTCCTTTAATCTCTGCTGCAAGATTGTGCTTGGCATTTCGGTGGCGGGAAATGTAGGTCTGGCTGTGCTTTTGATTCTTCTCGTGCGTGGAGGTAAGACAGTCTTCTCCTTCTCCTTCTGGAGGCCAGAAACAGGCCCATTTCCTGACTTCGGGAACCTCCGATAGGCCCATTTTTTGCCCTCCCAGACCCTCTGCGCGGCCCCTGCACTTACCTGGAATGATGAACAGGCCGCATGGAGACTCCTGGGAAGGGAGGGGCAGGGTGGGCGTGGCCAGCCAGGGGTGGCATTTGGGGGTTCACTGCACCCCAGCGTTCCTTGGCTAGAGGATCAACCGAACCCTGTCAAACTCCCAGGAGCCTACCCCTGCATAGAACCATATTCACACCCAAAATATTTTATTTATCTGTTTAATTATTAAATTCAGAAACCACCCATCTCCCTCAGAGGGACCCTGGACAGCACACAAATAAAATATTAAAACATAAAAACGGTATATAAAATGTTTAAAAGAGGCAAGGCTAAGTAAAATTCAACATTAAGGTTAATCAGAAGGAGAGGGGAGAACTTTCAGGGTGCTAATCCATGGCTGTATACTCCACTGTATACTCCAAGCAAAGCCCTCAGACCCATGTTTTACACCTTTCCGAAAGGCTAGGAGAGCGGGGAGGGGGGCAGTCTCACCTCTGTGGGAGGGTAGGATGTTCCAAAAGGTGGGGACAACAGCAGAGAATCTCTCTTCCTGGGATTCCACCAGTCAGAATTGTTTGATGGGGTTCACAACATGTCTTCCCTACTTTGATCAAGTGGGACAGGCTGATGTACTAGGACAAAGATGATACTGTAGGTAGCCTGGTCTCCTGCCATATAGGGCTTTAAGGATTATAACCAATACTTTGAATTGGACCAGGAAGCAAACTGGGACCCAATGCAGCTTGTGCAGGAAAGGTGTTATATGCCCTGTTCTTTGGGTGCCCAAGTTTCCCTGCACGGCTGCATTCTGTACCAGCTGAAGCTTCTGGATACTTTTCAAGGGTAGCCCCATATAGAGCACATTGCAATAGTCTAAACAGAAGATGACCATGGTATGAGTGACCGAGCAATTAATAACTTGAATTTGTGAATTGGGTTCATTGGTGAGGAAATCCTTTGAAATGACTGAATCTGAGACAAAGCTACTGAGCTTGTCGATCAGAAAGGTTGGCAGTTCGGCGGTTCGAATCCCAGGTCTCCTGTGTGAGCAGGGGGTTGGACTAGATGACCTCCAAGGTCCCTTCCAACTATGTTACTGTTACTGATGCTTCTTGATATTTTACTCTTATTCATAGGGACTTTGTTTCTTAAAATAACTCAGAATATCAAAAATCTAATGGGGGTTTTCTACTTCCCTGAGTCACTTGTGAACCAACATAAAACAGATAGTGTTGTTGGATGGCATTAAACTCAAATTGTTTTTTTAAGATTTCCAGGTTCATGCTTTTTCAAAACCTGCACCTTACCAGATCCGGAGTTGCATGCTCAACTGTATTCCTTGTCGATCTGCTACAAACAGCATAACAGGTAAACTCCAACTGCTCTAGCATTGAGCAACATAGTTATTCCTCTTTGTGGTTTTAACGACTTTCAAGATGTGGTGGAAAAGCTCACACACTGATGAGGTGTTTTCAGAAATAGACTTTGCTCCAGTGACAGGATGATCCAGTGTCCTTTGAAGCTCCACGGTGGTCATTTTGGCTTCCTAGTGTGGCAGGGAAATAAGGGGATAGGATAGGAGAAGTATTTGTGGACCAAACCTGAGAGAAATAACGTTCAGTTATTTCCTAATGGAAATAACATACGTTGGAAGTGTAAAAACAAAGAAGGGACTTTTTACCATCTATATGTGACAAAGCAAAAAAAAATAATTTTTTTTTTTTTGCCTAGTCTTTCTGTCTGAGCTAAGAAATTAAGTTGCTGGTGTTTTCCCTCCCTTTGGGCACAATCCAGCAGAAAATGAAATGCTTTCTTCAGGTATCAAGGGGAGAAAATTCATCAGAGCAGTGGTGAAATCCAAATTTTTTTACAGTTCTGTGGGCGTGGCTTGGTGGGTGTGGCAGGAGAAAGGATACTGCAAAATCCCCATTCCCACCCCAGTCTGGGGCCAGACAGAGATGGCATTTGCCTTTTCTCAGACTACTCAAAATTTCCACTACCGGTTCTCCGAACTACTCAAAATTTCTGCTAGCAGTTCTCCAGAACCTGTCAGAACCTGCACTTTCACTCCTGCATCAGAGGTTTCCAGATGAGGCCAGTTTGAGGAAGATCTATTTCAAGCCCATCCCCAAAAGTAAAGAATTGGAAAAGCAAAGTGATGCACATGATGAACAAAAGAAACGTGTGCCTTCCAGTGAGACAATATCTGCCACCCGAGAATGATTGTACGTTAAAAAACATAGCTGCGTAGTTCAAGGCTACTTATAATAAGTTCACGTCTTGAATTTAGATCCACATCTAATTCAAAACAAGACCTGCATTTTTAGAGGAATGGTTTATAAACATTCTAGATAGGTGTGTAGCAGTGGTGAAATCTGAACCGGTTTGCTACCGGTTTGCTGGTCGTGCATGCGCCATATGCACCACACGCCGTATGTGTGTGTATGTGCAGTACGCATCAAATGTGCATTGCATGCACGCGCACATGCGCAGAATGTGCCAAAAGGAGGGTTGGGAAGGTAAGTAGAACAACGAGGGTGGGGGATCAGCTGTGCCGCGTGATTTAGCTTGGCTAGAAAGCAGGATTTCCTACTTTCTAGCCAAGCTAAACCACGCAGAACAGCTGATCGTTGGAAATACCGGTTCTGAGGAATCAGTAGCTTTTTTTACTACCAGTTTTCCCAAACCAGAGCGAACTGGTAGCATTTCACCCCTGGTGTGTAGGCACTAACACAAGTGAAGCAGTTTCCCTAAGTACCATATCCCTTATGCCTCAATTTCAAAATATCTGAAAGGGTTTAGATGAAACAGTCATACATGGGGAGCTATATACTCCACCTCCTCCTGCTGCTGCTGCTGAATGGAGACATGCCTCCCTGTCCTGGAAGAAGGGCAAAGAGAACCTCCTTTCTCCAAGATAAAACTTCTAAACCAATGTCTCTGGTGATTCACAGTCATCCAGGTCATGGTTGCCCCAAAGGTGCTTTTTTCAAGAGGCAACTGGACTTTCTGGTTTTTCTTTGAAGACGTTTCGCTTCTCATCCAAGAAGCTTATTCAGCTCTGAGGAAGCTTCTTGGATGAGAAGCGAAACGTCTTCAAAGAACAACCAGAAAGTCCAGTTGCCTCTTGAAAAAGTTCTAAAAAAATGCTTCAGGGCTGTTGTGCTTCAAGAGTTTCTGGAATGGAAAGTCGAAAAACGAAGAATGGAAGGATTTAAACTTTAATACAGGTAGTCCTCAATTTACTGAGGTCAAAATTTCCATTGGCAGTTATTAAGTTAGCCATGTCCCATTTTATGACCTTTTTTTGCCATGGTTGTTAAGCAAATCACTGCAGTCAAGTGAATCATGTGATTGTTAAGCAAATCTGGAATCTTCCCCCATTTACTTTGCTTGTCAGAAACTCCCTAGGAAGCTTGCAGATGATAATTCCTAGACCCCATGATGCTGCATCCATCATAAATACATCCTAGTTATCAAGTGCCCAAATTTTGATCACGTCACTGTGCGGATGCTACAATGGTCATAAGTGTGAGAACCAGTCATAAATCACTTTTTTCAGTGCTGTCACTAAACAAATTATTGTAAGTAGAGAACTACCTATGGAGGCAACAAAGAGAACACGTGAAAGGACAAGATTACACAGCACGGAGATCAACATATCAAAACCAGCAATCATTAATTTGAACAAGAGAGAATTAGAGGAAGGAAGAGTAGGAGCAAAACTAAAGTTTTAATCAAACCTCACTTTTACAGAGAAATGGAAGGAAAAGGATAACTGTTAAAGCCAAACGTCTGTTAGATCAGAATTTATGGAAATTTTATACAAGAGCCATTTTGTGCACAATATAGACAAATAGTATGTAAATTATGCAAACTGTGTATATTAATTATGCAAGGTAATTTTGTAATTTATTTTAATTTACTAATTTTGCATCACCCAGGTAACATTTCTATAAAATACGAAGTCTAGTTTTTTACTATTACATCCAGAGTCAACTGATAGGGTGTCTATAAAGCAGAAGGCTTATGGTATATAATTGAACAAAAGCTATCCTGAAAAGACATACAGCAATTCCTTAATGCAATTGCTATTTTTCCCAGCCAGCTTTATCTTATTACTTCCAGTTCTTCCAAGGTTTTGGGGCAGAAAGCCTTATTCCTTGACCCAATCAGACAAAATGTTTGTTTTCTAAAATTCATGAGCTAAGAAAAACTAGATGGCATGCAAAGGATGGCAATTCCTTCTCCCCAAAACTGTTTTCTTTCTTTCAAACAGCAAACCTGACTCTGGATCCATCCACAGCTCACCCCCAGCTCTACGTATCTCCAGATTTGAAAAGCGTAAGATGGAAAGGCATGAAACAGCAAGTGAACGGCAGTCCTCTGAGATACGAACTTTTGGCCAGTGTCCTAAGCCACGAGAGCTTTAGCTCTGGGAAGCTTTGCTGGGAGGTAGAGGTGGTCAGAGAAGGAAACTGGTGGGGGGTGGGGATTGTTAGGGAGTCTGCAAACCGAAATGGGCCCATTGCCCTTCATCCAAGTGGAGGTTACTGGGGAGTGCAGCGAATTGAAGGCCAGCACCAAGCCATCACTCATCCCAGGACAAATTTGTCACTGAGTCGTTCGCCGAGAAGGATCCGAGTTTCTCTGGACTATTCAGAAGGCCTCATAGCATTCTTTGATGGTGACACGAATGCTGAACTCTTCACTTTTCCTAAAGCAAATTTTGCTAGAGAGAAGATTCACGCTTGGTTCTTGATCCATAAGTGGAATGGACAGCTTCTGCTCCATCCATGAGATAGTGGAGCAAAGGGGTCATCACACTGAAGACCTTCAGACTATCTGCCTTCAGCTCTCCTCCACTCCTTGTGTTTTCCATGCACACCATTGTCATGAGTGTCTTTGACTTCCTTTGACTTTCCTTTCCCCTTTTGATTTAGAAGACAACTGCATTATCTTCTAAATCAAAGGTCTCCTTCTATCTCACCTTCCTCATGTCTCCCAATGCCACCCCTAGCAAGCTAACCAGAGTCAACTATTTAAGGGATGAAAAAGCTCCCAGATTTTTTCAGACATTCAAGTAACAAAAAACAACATATCCACAGAGATTAAAACACAGGGGGAAATGGATATTTTTAAAAGAAAGGGGATGTTTTAAGAGAGGACCCCACCAATGTTCTACCAGGAATCAGATCGCTATGGAAGCATCTTAGATAACTTTTAAGTCTTCACACAATGCTCGCTTCACTTTCTGAGGAACATCTACTGCATGTTCTTTCTAATTTCTGAATGTAGGGGCTCGGCAAGGCATTTGCTGAATTCCTCTTTTCAGTGCTTTTTAATATTACCCCTTGGCCAAAAAAGAAGAAATAATTGAGCCCACTGCCCAATTATCTAACATTCAGAACCTCAAAGGAAAAGGGGTAAAATTGTGCCTCATTTTAGCAAGTTGTGGAAAGCTGACCATGTGTTTTTAGCAATAAATTATGATTATAAAACTCTGTCATGACTCAAGTTGTTTACTGTGAATTGGAAGAAGGAACTTCATGACCATCTAGAATTCACCCATTAGGAATAATGCCAATTGATGAGATCTATAAGCCCCGAAACTACATTTCGATGGGCAAAGAGTAGATGAAACTGAGATCTCCTCTAATAATTTGGAATCTGGAGACAAAAATCACTTTTTCCTGCCTTCTCTGGGAAACCCAAAATCAAGTAAGTCAGGAGTAGACTCATTGGAAGACAAAGAACTCTCTTTTGTTTCCCTAATTAACTTGACAAAGTGTGTTAGACTGTTATTATCATTGTATATGGAATTTCCTGACACAATTCTATACATTTAACATGCATTGCTTCTGTGAGGTTACACCATACTAAGCAAAAGCCTTTGGTTCTTTGGTATAGACCAGGGTGTCAAACTGGATTTCTTTGAGGGCCACATCAATATTGTAGTTCTTCTCTACAGGCTGGGGGGGGAGGGAGTGGGGGGGACGGATGCCTCCTGCAGCATCTTGCCACCCCTCGTTTTTGGCCTCCATGGCTTTCTGCAGCATACTCCTGGCTGAAAACAGGACGCACGGAGGCCCTGTAAGGCTTCTATGCAGCCCGTTTTCAGCCTCCCCGGACTCCTGCAGCATGTTCAGGCCAAAAACAGGCCATGCGGAGGTCCTGTGAGGCCCATTTTCAGCCTCCCTGGCCTCCTACAGAACTCTTCAGGCCAAAAACAGGCCATGGGATGGCTGCACACAGGTCTCCTGCGGCCCATTTTGGCCGGCAGAGGCACTGTGGTCTGGTTCTTTGATACTTCCAGGTCAGGCCTGTGGGCCAGATTTAAGCACCCAGCAGGCCAAATTTGGCCCGTGGGCCTTGAGTTTGACACCCTGGGTATAGACCTTTTTCCTGTTCTTCTCATAAGTGCCCAAACACAGTTAAAGTGTTCCCAGACTCTCATAATCAGAGTTTAATCATAGGAACTTTAAAATCATCTCCATTTGTAACTATTTCTTTGCTCCTATCAAGTTCCAACTTTCACGGAGCCTTTTGCTGGGAAGACAGACGTCTGCCTAGACACACTGTGGAATCTGCTTGGCTGGTTCAGATGCACCATTGCAGTTGTGTTCACTTTTCATTCATGTTTCCTATACTGAATTTAAGAAAAAAAAAATTCCCCATGTTGCGTGTAAGTCCTGTATAGAATTTATTGGTTATAAGTGGAAGGCCATCAGCCCAAAATGGCCTCTTTGGGAGATCAATTGTTAAACTATATTGTTGTGGATTTAATAAGACAAACACAACTTTTAGATTAATCAGAGACAAATTTTATATATTACGCAATAGGTTCAAGGCTCTGTACATGAAGCGTTGAACAAAGACAGAAATTAGGTACAATGGTTTTATACCCTTCTAGACAAAGGATTCTGTTAACTCAGCAATTCATATGGTCATATACATTTATCATTTTTAATTGACATTTTCTAATTACTGAGTTTGCAGAACAGTTATAATAATTCTTCTAAAAAGTTACTGAAGCATAGATTCAAATCATCTTCTGACGATAGACAACTTTTAACTCATGTGGATCCCCTTGACCTAACCAACCTTTAAGCTGTATGTCATTAGAATGTTCCTTTCTTCTGACAACTTAGAGGCCTCCTAAAGGAAACAAAAGGATTTTGGCTGAGTTTGTAATTTTTCCAACCGGATGCATTGCTTTTTAGAATAGAGTGAATAGAAAGTTATCCAGTGGTGATCTATCAGAGCCCGCTTCATTACATTATTCCCCCCTCTGAAAGTTTTTCAATGCAGAAACTTTCACTATTCTCATATAATTTTAACTTCTGAGTATACAAAGTTCCAATAAACAAATCTACCATATATAGGGTCTAACAAAAGATAATTAATAAAAGTAAAGGATAGGTAGTTCTTGATTGTTTTTTTTATTTTCCACTCTCTTGATTCTTGGGGAGATTCTCTACCTTTTTCTACAGGTTCCATTTCCTCATATGGGTCTGCCTCAGAATCTTTATGTTCTTCCACAGGATAGGGACCAAGTTGATTAAGAAAATGTTCTGTCAAAGCTAGTTCCTTTTCAACTTGAATCTCCTTTACTGCTCTTATTGATAGATGTTTCAGCATAGGGATTGCACAAGGAATAAAAACTAGGCCTGCCACAGCCATATTAATCCACCCGGATCCAGGCAACCAAGAAAACCACATGTCAGTTGTTTATAACCTCTGACCTATCTTGGAAGCCCTATCCTGCAATTCCTTGGCAATTTCTCTGACCACACCTGATTCGTTACATGTTCCTGTCCAGTTTGTTGATAAACACAAATATGCATCCTTTCCACATAAGAAGATTTATGGAAAAGGCATGCACTCAGTAGTTTCTTGCATTAGTCCAAACCCCTAAGTCCCTGCCACAAACATTCCTGCCAGTGGTTGCAATGGGACTTCCAGTGAGGGGTCCTTCTGTTTATCTCTGAGAATTGGTCCTTCAAAAACATATCGAGAGGTAGTATTTCCAGGTGGAAAAAGGATACACAAATCTGATTTGGACTTTAAGTTGAACCAGAGCGGAAATTCTGAAGGTTGAAATGGTCTTGGACAGATTCCATCCACCCCACTTTCCATTCTTAAAGTTTATTTCTGGTAGCCTTTGTTCTAACCCAGAGTTGTGGTTTGACAGGAACAGCATGATAAGATGCAGGGCTAGCAGATAAACATAAGCAGCATTTCTGACCTAGGGTAGGGTCATACTGTTTAACAAGATCTTGGCTTTATTCCAAAATCCGTGATATATAGTCTCCTCTATGCAATTGTTGTAGAGGCCCATTTTCCTTATCTATTCCCCCCTCAGCTGGGAATGTCAATAGTGCAACCTTAGGTGGTGGAGTTGACTTAGGTCTAAAGTAAGAACCCCGTGCATAGACAATGCGTTTTTGGCGGGAGTGAACTTGACCTAAAGTGTCTCTACTTGGGGAATCAATGTTCATCTTATGTTCACTTGAGAGTCCTAGTGCAAATAATGTCCAAAGCCATAAACAAATCATAATCAACTATGGTGTGAAGCTCACTACGTCAGGGAAAGGGTTAGTGGTGTGTGTGGTTTGGGATATAGCAGTAGCAAGAAAAATTAGGCCTACCACAAAAATGTTCCTTATATATGTAAAACAAAATTACTAGCAAGATTAGAAAAACAAGTACCCACAAAACGTACTCCCAAACTTCTAATAACATTAGCATGTGTAAGAAAGAGTTATATTAAAGCTAAGAAAATGTATATGTGCAATGTGAAGGTAGTTTCCTCTTGATGAATCTTCCGCCGTGCGTTGAGAATCAGTTTCCGGAGTGATTCAGCAGGGCTGATGATCACCACCGTGCGTTGAGAGTTTGTTCCCGGTAGAACTCAGCAGGGTGTATTTTTCTTAAACTCCCGCGCCAATGGTCTGTCAGTTTTTTTTTTTTTTGTTACCTGGTATCAGTCTCATCCAGTGGATCCAGGATTGTCCTTCTAAGATCTTAAAAACACAATTACAAAACCAATACATCTGGGCGAGTGCGCAAAGGAATCTGAGCAGTTGTAGTCCTTTTCAGTTGGGAAACAGCATAGGCAACCACTGAATCCTAAGAAAGAAAAAATACAAAAATAGTCCAGATGATGAAGAACGCTATTCCCACTGGTGGCTGCCTACCAGTCCCTTGGGTCTTTTGGATCATCAACTTCAATGGATTTCCTTGATGAGATTGGGCCCGTTCACTTGAGGTCTAACTTCCATCCAGTTTGGATTAACATCCAATCATTGTGGTGGAATTTGTGGACTGGAAACTTCAAAGGTGGTGTTTGGGCTAATAGTCCTTATTTCCTAAAAACTTCAAAATATCTGGACAGGTTATACACATATTGTTTCAATACTTTGTCTCTGGTTTCCAAAGAAGTAATGCATATGCTTCCTGTAGTGAAAACTACTCCAAACAACAGTTCATATGATGATAATCTGTCTAGGTTGGGTAAAACTTTTGACACCACTATTGCTGTAGCATTACTGCAGATAAAAGCTGCAACCCACCTTATGAGGTGGTTCACTATGACTAATAAATATTTTACACTCCCCACTTTTGGTAATTCTGTAAAATCCACATGAATACATTGAAATGGTCTTAAAGCTGGTGGTACCTCTTACCCATCTGTTGTTTTCTGACAGCATGTTCATTCACCTTTTTACAAACCAAACATTTGTTTATAATTGATGTTACTAAAGGATATATCCCAATACAACCATAGCTTAGTTTAAAAGTTCATATACAATAGCTTGAAGTCCCCAATGACTCCACCCATATTTTGCCAAATGATGTCCAGAGACTAAGGGTTACAATGCATTAAGCAATAGCCGTCATAAAGTCAGCTTATTGCCCCCCACAAACTGGGTCCTCAATTCACCTACCTTAGAAAGGATGGAAGGCTGAGTCAACCTTGAGCCTGGTGAGATTCGAATTTACAGTAATTGCAGACAGCTGGTGTTAAATTACAATGCATTTGTCTACTGAGCTATCCAGGCTCCCTGTCCATAGAGCTTAATTTAATGAATACAATTCAAAGGTTTGAGCAGACCAATTTCGAGGCAATTTGTCTCCAGGGGGTGTCCCTCCAAATCAGGTCTTGTTTTTGTATGTAAACCAATTATTTCAACACCATAATGTTCTCATCCAAGGTGATCCATTGATCTGGTGTTGGTTAAGAACTGTGCTTGATTCAAATTGTGATCTGTAGGGAAAATCAAATTTGTCTGCTGCATTAAAATTGTTTCATTGTTGTTTAGAATCTTGAATCAGATAACCACCACTGAAGGATAGTTCTAACTTGATGTGGGGTGCTTACAATGAGGGCTCCCCAAAGGTCAATTTCCTACTTTCTGAGCCAACACCCCTCGTGCAATTCAATTTGTGTGTGTGTGTGTGTGTGCCTACAAAGAGACTGAATGGCTTTTCCAAATTTGGCAAACCCAATACAGGAGCCCTGGTTAAAGCCTGTTTCAAATTTTCAAGGCTTCCTCTTTCCTGTCCCTCCCATTTCAAACTCCAAGGTCCAGATTCAATTAATTTTGCATAGAATTATCTTAATTCTTGCTTGTTTATAGATGGAGGCGGAGACGCCGCCCCTCCTTTCTATCAGGAGTGATTTTTTTTTACTACTCCTGTGGGGGGGGGGGAGTCTTTCCCTTTAAAGATTGCTGAAAGGCAGAGCTTTCCCTTCCTGAATTCAAAACTCCTGGAATCAGTTTATTGTTCCTAGTAAGGCAAGCAAGAAACAAACACATCTTTTATTCTTCTTTTGTCGTGGAAAATAAGGTGGCGTCTCAGTTTCTTAATGGCCCATTGGTAAAGGTGGGGGCTGAACTCTGCCTGAGTTTCTGCTTATTTTCTTTAGGGGAATTTTCTTGTGCTTTTAATATTGAGCTTCTCAAATCTTCCAACACTCCCTTCACTGATTAAGTATATTCAAATGCTTTGTTCACTTTATCTGATCTCTGTCAACGAAAAACACCTCTTCTTTGGATCGGGCAATCTTTAACGCTGTCTTCCCTGCCCATATCACCACTTCTCTTCTACTTCTTAGCACTTCCACATTTCAATCTGCCAACTTCCATAACTTTCCAAAAACAAATCACATACCTTCTCCTTTCCATCAATTCTACTTTCTCTAACTCCTTCTTATACAATTCTCCTACCGCTGTCAGCACAAGTCTGTGTAGACAAACTTAAAGGCAACTTTCTGACTTCCCTTAAAACTTCCTCTCTTCCTTCAACCACCGCACATCCCCCCATAAACAAACCAGCCCCTCAGCACCAACACCTAATCTCCCCGCAAACTGAAGTGAACAAAAACAAGCACACTCTCGAGGCAGAATCCAACACCCTAGACAAAAATGCCACTGAATCTCTCCCACCACACATCGCAATTTCCAACTCATCTCTGTGACAATTCCCAAAAAGGCAGCAGTTTATGCTGCTGACAAACAAACAAACAACAAACAAACATACAAACGAACAAACGTGCCATCTGTTAAGTATGCAGAATGCACGCAGACATAAAAACATTAAGGAGACAGCTTCAAAAATAAAACAAACAATCTAAATGAGGTATTTTGAGTCAATACTCTGAAATATAATTGAGTATGAAAGTATTTGAAACGTCAAAAATTTTTAATTGACATTTCCTAATTACTGAGTTTGCAGAACAGTTATAATAATTCTTCTAAAAAGTTACTGAAGCATAGATTCAAATCATCTTCTGACGATAGACAACTTTTAACTCATGTGGATCCCCTTGACCTAACCAACCTTTAAGCTGTATGTCATTAGAATGTTCCTTTCTTCTGACAACTTAGAGGCCTCCTAGAGAAACCAAAAGGATTTTGGCTGAGTTTGTACTTTTTCCAACCGGATGCATTGCTTTTTAGAATAGAGTGAATAGAAAGTTATCCAGTGGTCATCTATCAGAGCCCGCTTCATTACATTAATATCACTGCTGGTTGTCTCCCCTTCTTCTTCTCCTTCTCCTTCTTCTCCTCTCTTTCCCCACTTCTTCCTTCCAAGTCAAGAGAGTGAGTGGACTAAGAATATGGGTGGGACATAGGTAACTACATGGAACCAGGATAAACTCCTCCATTCTAAAATCAATCTTCTGTTTTTCATTCTGACTTTAAAACTTGGCCTTCAGAGTAGGTGTGCAATTTGGACTTGGAAAGATAGAAACTAAATGAGTGAAACCCAGTGGTGGGATTCAGCCGTTTTGGGCCTGTTTGGGTGAACCAGTAGTTAAGTTGCTGGCTGGCCCTTCCCCTCCCCGCCTCTTCAAGGAGTCCAAACGTGCCCCATTTTGGCTCCCAGGTAAGTGCAGAGCGGCCTACTAAGCCCAAAATGGGGTGCCGGGGGGGGCAGCGCATCCCCCCCCATGGCCCGTTTTTGCTCTCGGGGTTGCAGGAGACTGAGTACTGCCTGTCAAATCCCCTGGCCATGCCCACCATGGCCACGCCCACCCAGTCGGTCATTAGGGTAGAGAACTGGTTGTTAAATTATTTGAATCCCACCACTGGTGAAACCCAAACATTTAGTTCCCAATGAAATGTGGTCTCTCATTTCTAATGGAAGGAGAAGAACCTGATTGCCTACAAAGGGGCTCCAAAGCTATGTAGAATGTTTTATTTCAAAGCACCTTCTTCAACAATCTAGTTGTGAGTCATTTAGGGGCTCATCATCATATCCTGGGATGATTCATTCTGTTGTATAGGAGGTGTGCCACCCACAACTCCTTCCAACTACTTTCCCAATCCAGACACCTGATTTCTTCCTCAAGAGTTGCGGTAAACACCTGCAACTAAGCTTACAGAAACAGGTTGAGAAGTAAAGAGCAGAAATGGCTATCTCCATGTCTGAATCCGGCTAAAAACACCTCTCAGCTAACTACCCTATGGGCAACTTCAAGCACCAATTCACTACTGATGATTGCAACTAAGGAATAAGCTGGTCTCCTATCCCACTTGGGCAAAAATTATTTACTAACTTGGAGGCTGGCTTTGTAAAACCAGTTACACAACTGTATCAGACTGGCTGTTTGAAGAAATTTTGAAGAACTGTCATTTCCTCTTGCGAAGACTATAAATCTTGCTACTAGCAAAAAAACCCCCCAAAAGTTATAAAAGATGGATGAAGATGGATATATGAGTATAGATCCAAGTAAGAGAGATTGTCCCTTGCCAGCCATTAAAGGGAAGAAAGGTAATATCTAACAGCTACTTATTTTTCTTTATTTTACTCTGCATATTGGCTCTAAGTTTTTTTTAAGAGAAGTTAAGAAAAAAGTAAAAGTGAATCAGTCTCTATTGTTCTGGGGGCGGGGGGCGTATTACATTTGTTAAATGTCATTTCTGTTTAACAGCGAACACTTTCCTTGATTATCTACATGTCCTTTGCTTAGTTTAAGTTCTTTCTGTATATCTAGCAATTATTAGAGGGTGGGAGGGAGAGTTTGATCTAGTGGTTAAGGCACCAGAGTCCAGACTAGGAATCAGAAGCAATGAATTCTAGTTCTGCCTTAGCCATAAAAAATCAGCTGGAGGATTTTGGGCTGGTTATTTTTTCTCAGTCTAACTCACCACACAAAGTTGTTGTGTGGGGAAAATAGGAGGAAGAAGGAGTATTACATATGTTCATCCCCTTGAGTTGTTTATAAAAATAATAAAGGCAGGATATTAAATAAATGTATCAATTACATCCAGAAGCTAGAGACTAAAATAGAGAGGCTGGTTGGCTGGCAGGATAAACAACTGAGCTTTTAAAAATGGCAATAAATCTCATTTCGTACAATGGGACAACATTCTGGAAAGATAAAAACCATTTTTAAAGTTTACAGAGTTACAGAATATCAGAGTGGGAATAGACCTTCTAATCCCTGCTTAAGCAGAAGATCCTATATACAATGACAGACAAATGGCTGTTCAGTCTCTTCCCACAACCTCTGGAGGCAAGCTGTTCCACTAATTAAATTGTTCTCACTGACAGGAAATTTCTCCTTAATTCTAGGTTGGATCTCTCTTTGATAAGCTTCCATCCGTTATTTGCCCTCAGGTGCTTTGGAGAATAAGTTAATCCCCTCTTCTCTTGGCAGCCCCTCAGGAACAGAACAGAACAGAACAGAACAGAACATAAAAGAACAGAACAGAACAGAACAGAACAGAACAGAACAGAACAGAACAGACTAGAGACTAGAGACTAGAGACTAGAGACTAGAGACTAGAGACTAGAGACTAGAGACTAGAGAATAGAGCTGGAAGGGACCTTGGAGGTCTTCTAGTCCAGCCCCCTGTTCAAGCAAGAGAACCTATACCATCTAAGACAAGTGACTGTCCAGTCTCTTCTTAAAAACCTCCAGTGATTTCCGGAAGCAAGCTGTTCGCTGATAAATTGTCTTCAGTGTTAGGAAGTTTCTCTTTAATTCCAGGTTGCTTCTCTCTTTGATTAGTTTCCAACCATTATTTCTTGTTCTGCCTTCTGGTGCTTTGGAGAATAATTTGACCCCTCTTCTTTGTGGCAGTCCCTGAAATACTGGAATACTGCTATCATGTCACCACTAATTCTTGTTTTCTTTAGACTAGCCAGACCCAAAACCTGCAGCCGTTCTTCATATGGTTTAGTCTATAGGCCTTTGATCATCTTAGTTACACTTCTCTGAACTTTCCCCAAAGTCTCAACATCTTTTTTTTTTTTTTTTTGTGGTAGGGTGACCAAAATTGGTTGCCGTATTCCAGGTTTGGTCTTATTAGAGTTTTGTAAAGCAGCACTAATACTTGATTCTGTGCCTCGGTTTACACAACCCAAGATTGTATTAGCTTTGGAAAACTACTATCATGTCACCTAGTCCTTCTCTTTGTTAGATGAGACGTACCCAATTTCTGCCACCCTCCTTCATCTGTTTTAGCCTCCAATCATCTTTGTTGCTCTTCTCTGCACTCTATCTAGAGTTGCAACATCTTTTTTATATTGTGGTATCCAAAAACTGGATCCAGTATTTCAGGTATGGTTTTACTAATGTAGGATAAAGTGGTACTAATATTCATGTGATCTTGATGTTATCCCTCTGTTGATGCAGCCTAGGACTGCATTGGCTTTTTTGGCAGCTGCAACACACTGCTGGCTCATACTTAAACGGTGGTCTGGTAGAACTTCAAGATCCCTCTCACAGTTTGACAACTCATCTTATGAGTGGAACACTAATATTCCACGATTTTTATACTAGTCTAGTGTATTACTAGTATGGATTGTCACCATGGTAGAATCATACTAGTGGAACTCGTATGATAACTTGTCATGCTAGTGGCAGTTTTTATAGAATGAATTTCCTATATTACGCTTCTTTCTCTCCCTGGCACAGCACTGTATAACGTGTTATGTTTCTTGTTTTGCAAAATGTGCTTCGGAGAAATCAAGTAATCCCATTCTTGCCCCATCAAATTGTCTACAATATTGTTTTCCTCCTTCTCTATCACCTAATGATCCAGTAATCTTAGACAGAAGAAAAGAAAAGAAAAGAAAATTGGAAGAAAAAGGAATACAGATTCACATCCATATGACCAGAGGCCCCTCAAGATAAACTTGCCTTCTTTGAGATTATAATTTCATATATGTGAGAGAAAGAGAAGTTTGCAAAAAGTTTAGTTTCCTTTTCTGATCATTTATGCTTTATAAAAAATAGCAGATTGAAGGGAAGAATGCATATGAAGAATGTAATGGACTACTCCCACATTTTGAATATTTAAAAGTCTAATTTGTCTTCCTCTGTGTGAGTGGGAAATGAAGTTACTGTGTCCCATGATGTACTTTGCTGGCTCTGGCTGGAGAGAAGCTCTGAGTGGGAAATTCCAGCAGCTTCGTCTCTGTCACAATATTTGTATGGCATCTACTTAGGGTGGCTTTGCTTCTTCCTGTAGAGCAGATGTTTCCAATCCACTAGATGTGATTGATTGCTAAGGCTTTACGAGTGGAATGGGATTCTCTCTAATCAATAACTGCAAAAATAAAATTGAGATGACTTTTCCCTAAGTAGTTTGATCAGGCTATGTTTAAAGAACTGAGCAACAAAGCAACTTTAGAGAATACCTCATTTACATACCAAATGTCTCTTACTTTAATAGCACATGCTCTTTTTATGTATTTTTAACATTAAGCAGGCAAGCTATTTAATGCTGGGTTGGGAAGCTTGGTTGCATTTTTAAAAAAAGCTTCTTTAGATGAATGGTGGTAGTGTTTTGTTATTGTTGTTGCCTTACTCACATCACACTTCCAGGTGCACACAACAGTGTCCACAGCATCTGTAGCTGTTTTATTTTCCAACTGAAACATCCCTTTAAGGTAGACTAGGCTGAGAGAGGGAGTATGTTCAGCCCACAGTCACTTTAAATTCCTGTGGATGCAGGTGGATTTCAACCTGTTCAAGAACTTTTATGTTACAATACCTAATTTATTTATGGCACATCATACATGGACTAGCAATATATATTAACATTTCACCTAGACTAGTAAAACTTAATAAAATATAAATGTCAAAATGTGACACCTTGGCTAACGGATCTCAATAGAAGGTGCTACAATAAAGGAAATTGAATGGCATGTTAAATGTGGTTGGCAGGCATTTGGCAAGCTAAGCATAATTTTCAAGAAAAACCTTCCCCTATGCCTGAAGAGAAAAGTTTTCAATCAGTGTGTGCTACCTGCTCTAACCTATGTTGGTGAAACATGGACACTAACCTCACAATCGATACAAAAGCTACGAGTGGCACAAAGAGCCATGGAAAGATACATGCTCGGCATCACAAGACAAGACAGAAAGGCCTGCGCATGGATTATTTATTTATTTATTGGATTTGTATGCCGCCCTTCTCCCGAAGGACTCAGGGCGGCTCACAACAATAAGAAACAGAAAATACAAAAGTTAAAAGACAAATTAAATCAGAATATCCAATAAATAAGGTTAAACGTGGGAATACAAATTCAAATTCAAGATTTAAGAATTTAAAAAGCTACAAAATCAGATTAAAAAGATACAAAATCAGATCAGAGAACAAATGGAAGTATATACGATGCCATCAAGACAGTAAAAGAATTAGAAGAGATGTTAATGTTTAAAATAGAAGTTTAGCAGGAATTTTTCTTACTGGGCATGACAGATGGCAAATATGACAATAATGTAACCTATTTAATATTGCATATACTTACAGCGGCAAGACTAGCATTTGCTCAAAAATGGAAGTGTAAAGAAATACCCTCAGAAGAAGAAGTAATACACAAAATGTACAGCTGTGCAGAGATGGACAGACTCACTTTAGAACTCAAAGACAAAAGTGAATCAACATACTATTAAGTCTGGAATAAATTTTATAATTGCTTAGATAAGAGGAAGAATGCCAAAAACAAGGGATAACAAATGTCTGGAAATGTATATATCAATGTATATCAATATATCAATGTATATTGAATTTGTCAATGTAATATAGGTTTATTAAATACATGCATAGTTGTTTAGGAAGTAAAATACTGCGTACTTGATATATAATGAAATAGGAGATATGTAAATTTGTATATAGATCAAGTAATAGATTACTTATTAATTTGATTTAGACGCAAATGTTAGAAACCAGGGATGTTGAGCAATGTCCATTGTTTTACTTTTAAAACTAATAAAATATTTTTAAAAATTAAAAAAAGAAAGACAGTAAAAGAATGGAAATGGAAATGGGCTGGTCACATAGCAAGACAAACAGGATAGGTGGACCAAGGCAGTCATAGAATGGATCCCACTTGATAAAAAGCATCCACGTAAAAACACCTAAAACAAAATGGATCGATGATATCAGCAAGTATTGAGCCATGGTGGTGCAGTGGTTAGAGTGTAGTACTGCTGGCTGCCTGCAATTTGGCGGTTCAAATCTTACCAGGCTCAAGGTTGCCTCAGCCTTCCATCCTTCTAAGATGGGTAAAATGAGGACCCAGATTGTTGGGGGCAATATGCTGACTCTGTAAACCATTTAGAGAAGGCTGTAAAAGCACTATGAAACGGTATATAAGTCCAAGTGCTATTGCTATTGCACACCCAACTGGCAAAAGAAAGCTCAGAACCCTATTGGCTGGAAACATGCATAAGAGGCCTTCATCCTGCAGTGGATAGACAATGGCTAGAATGATTATGATGAAGAAGAAATGTCAAAAATATCTATGTTTAAATACCAATGTTTAGGCCCTGATGGCGAACCTATGGCACATGTGCCACAGGTGGCATGCGGAGCCATATTGGTGGGCACGGAGCATTGCCCTAGCTCACCGGGCCCACCGGAAGTTGGCAAATGGGCTGTTTCCGGCCTCCAGAGGGCCTCCAGGGGATGGGGATGGCTGTTTTTGCCCTCCCCAGCCTCCTAGAAAGGCTCTGGAGCCTGGGAAGAGTGAAAAATGGGACTTCCGGGCCCACCAGAAGTCAGCAAATGGGCCATTTCCAGCCTCCGGAGGGCCTCTGGGGCTGGGGAAGGCCGTTTTTGCCCTCCCCAGGCTCTAAGAAAGCCTCTGGAGCCTGGGGAGAGTGAAAAACGGGCCTACCGGGGCCACCGTACCATCGTGTGCCAAAAGCGGGTGGAGCACAGGAGGGTTGCACATGCATACACAGGGGGCGCATTGAATATAGGTGTGGGCACACACATGTGTGACACACACACCCCCCGGGGCTCCTTTCGTTTTTGGCACGTGACAGCAAAAAGGTTTGCCATCAGTGGTCTAGGCCATCTGACCACTGAAGCACAGCATCATTTATATTAGAACAAAAATCAGATACTGGACTGGTATACGGCCTCAGTTTACAGCTGGTCACAATGTGATCTACAGTTTGACATAGGACCCCCGCAGTCACACTGAGGAGAGGATACTGCACCCCATTTATACAGAGAGTCCCAGCAGGCACTATGTGAGGTGTGAATCCTATTCAGGATTGTCCATAGCTGAAGGGATAGTTCAAAATCTGGCACCTTTTTTTCTGGGGTCATTTATATGTCTTCCTATGTCTGGGTGTTCAGTCACTTATTTGGCTTTCCATTGGGAATAAATGTTAAAGTTACAATACTTAATGTAAATTAAGGAACGGATGATGAACTTCATAATTCCCTTCCAATCCCACAGATCCTTCGATGAATCCTCTCCTGTGGAAAATTTTGTTTGGCATTTCGGCTGTAGGAAATGTGGTCCTGGGTGTGCTTTTGATTGTTCTCATTCTTCCAGGTAAGAAATGTTCTGCTTTGTTCCTTCAACCTATCACTGTCCTCTCCTGCTACCATATAGCCATAGAGTGGCACAGTGGTTAGAATGCAGTATTGCAGGCTGACTCTGCTCACTGCTATGAGTTCGATCCTGACTGGCTCAGCTTTCCAATCTTCCAAGGTCGGTAAAATGAGGACCCAGATTGTTGGGGGCAATACGCTGACTCTGTAAACCACTTAGAGAGGGCTGGAAAGCACTGTGAAGTGGTATATAAGTCTAAGTGCTATTGCTATTGCTGTAAGTGCAACTCATCTACTAAACAGGAGTGATGCAGATAAACAGTGGTGGTTTAAGATTATTTCTACTACTCAGGTAATATTTTTATTGTCACATTTGTCACAGTAACACAATTTGCCATCACTACTGGCAGTCCTTGACTTATGACCAGTTGCTTGGTGATCATTCATAGTTACGACAGACTTTCCCGTATCTATTTATGACCCAGTTTTGAAGTTCGGAGAGCCCCTCCCCCCAAATCAATTTGGGGCGCTTGGCAACTGGCCTGCCTTTGTGGCTTTTTGCAGCATCCTGTGGTCAGGTGACCACCATTTTAAGATGTTATTGGTCGGAAATTGGCATTTACTTCCAGTTTCCAGCAAAAAATGTCCATTAGCTTCATGGTTTCAGCACAAAAAAAAAATCATGAAAATGGCGCGCAATCATATGATGACCATTTAATGACCTCATTGACCTAACACCAAAATTTGGGCTCAATTGCAGTCATACGTTGATGAGTACCTGTATGTACCCCATTGTATGTTCCAAGATATATGGGATGATCAGAAAACATGCCGAGAGCATCACAACATTTTTATGCTTTTCCCATCCCATTTGCTGAAATGCCAACTGCATAGATCTGAATAGATTCTCAATATGCAATCCGCCAGTCTGAGTGAAGAATATATATTATGCTGCATACATCATTTGTAATGTGTGAAATTGTAGAGGCTAAGTGTTATAAGCACTTAGATTTATATACTGCTTCAGAGTGCTCTACAGCCCTCTCTAAGCGGTTTATGGAGTTAGCATTTTGCCCCTAACAATCTGGGTCCTCATTTTATCGACTTCGGAAGGATGGAAGGCTGAGTCAACCTTGAGCCAGTCAGCAGAATTTGCCTCCAATACTGCATACTAACCACTGTGCCATCACGGCTCCTTCAAGATGCTCTTGAAAAGATAGGCTAGATCTGTTTCCAAATTGACACGGGGAAAAGCATGGCTTAGGTCCAAAATAAAAAGAAGGTATGTGATTAGGCAGACACCTCCCTAATTCCCATGCGTATAGATCATACCACATATTTGAGAGGATTTATATGAGACCATATGAGATGAGATTGGGCTTGTCACTGTGAGCTTCCAGAGATTCCCTCAAGATCTGGTTATGCCAGCAGCCCTGGGGAACTAGTGAACTAGTGAACTAGTGAGGTGCCTCCATTATTTTTAATATCTCTTTGTCTATTATTCTATGTCTTAGTTTGGTTTTTCTACTGTTTAATGTATTTATTGACTGTGGGGTCCCTGTCGCTTTCTAAGCTTGATTGTTTTCTTGAAGATGTTTCATTACCCAACTAGGTAACATTATCAGTGCTAGAAAGAAGTGGAGTTTGCATTATGTTACAAACAGCTTGCCCTGTCAGTGTTGGTGGGAGTGTTATTAAGTGTTATTGATAATTATAAATATATGATTATAATTATTAACATAATAATTAGTTTTTAACAGTTAATTGCTTTTAGTTCTGTTTTACACCACCCAGAACAGGGGTGAAATGCTCCCAGTTCGGTCTGGATTGCCCGATCCGGTAGCGATGGAGGCGGGTAGTTCGGAGAACCAGTAGCAAAAAATCCCTGCCCCACCCCCATGCCTAGCTGAGCCGCACGATCATCAGAGGCTTTTTTTCTTCTAAATGCCTCTGACGATCCAAGCTGAGTTTTTTTCTTTTAAATGCCTCTGACGATCCAAGCTGAGTTGCCTGATCAGAAGTAGTTTTTTTAAAGAAACTTTTTTTCTTTTAAATGCCTCTGACATCCAAGCTGAGTTTTTTTCTTTTAAATGGCTCTGACGATCCAAGCTGAGTTGCCTGATCAGAAGAGGGTTTTTTAAAGAAACTTTTTTTCTTCTAAATGCCTCTGATGATCCAAGCTGAGTTTTTTTCTTTTAAATGGCTCTGACGATCCCAGCTGAGTTGCTTGATTGGCAGAGGGTTTTTTAAAAACTCTCTGACGATCAGGCAACTCAGCTGGGATCGTCAGAGCCTTTTGAAAGTATTTTTTTACAACCTCTTCACCGAAGAGGTTGTAGATAAAATGGTTTTAAAAGTTAAAAAAAAAAAATTGGCCACGCCCACCCAATCACATTACCCCCTCCCCACCAAGTCACACCCACAGAACCGGTAGTAACAAATTTTAGATTTCACCACTGACCAGGCAAGGGCTCGGGACAGGGGTTGCTCCTCTGTCCTGGTCCTATTAGACCTCTCAGCGGCTTTTGATACCATCGACCATGGTATCATGCTGCACTGGCTGGAAGGCTTAGGGGTGGGATGCACCATGCTGCGGTGGTTCTCCTCCTTCCTCTCCGACCGGTCGCAGTCAGTGTTGGCAGGGGGGCAGAGGTCGACCCTGAGGCCCCTTGTATATGGGGTGCTACAAGGGTCGGTCCTCTTGCCCCTTCTGTTCAACATTTATGTGAAGCCACTGGGTGAGATCATCCATGGTTTTGGGGTGAAGTACCACCAGTACGCTGATGACACCCAGCTGTACATCTCCACCCCGGACCACCCCAAGGATGCCCTTGTAGTGATGTCTCGGTGCCTGGAGGCTGTACAAATCTGGATGGGGAGGAACAGACTCAGGCTCAACCCATCCAAGACCGAGTGGCTGTGGTTTCCGACATCCCGATATAGTCAGTTGGTGCCATCACTGACTCTTGGGGGTGAGTTGTTGGCCCCCACGGAGAGGGCTCGCAACTTGGGGGTCCTTCTGGACTCAACAGCTGTCTTTAGAATTCAAACAGACAGGCACCAGCCACATAACTCCCCGGACTTAACAGCTGTCGATAAGAAGAAGCTAACTGCAGAATAGAAGAGAAAGAACTGGAGAAGATAACAAATTACAAAGACCTACAAACAGAGATAGAACAACTATGCCAAAGGCAGGCAAGGGTAGTACCAATAGTAATAGGTGCCTGGGGTGCAATCCCAAAACAACTGGAGCACCACTTGAACACTGTTGGCACTGACAAATTCGCCATCAGTCAATTGCAAAAGACGGCTTTATTTGGAACAGCTTCCATCCTGCGACGATATCTATAACACCGTCAAACCTCCAGTTCTTGGTAAGGACTCAATAGGTAGACAAAAACGCCAAACCCAGTCTGAACATCTGGCTGACTGTGCGATGATCAACAACAACAACAACAATACTAGGTGATGCATGAATTGAAGAGATCAGCTAGAAAAAAAATAAGAAAATATTGTGATTTGCAAATTGAAGTTGAGCGATTATGGAAGAAGAAATCAGTGGTTGTACCAATAGTAATAGGATCCCTTGGAGCAATACCCAAAGGGCTGCCTAGATACATGGAAATTTTGAACTTATCAGACCTGAATATCCTGACTTTGCAAAAAACCCGCCTTACTCAAAACTGCCCTATATGAGTATAGGGTGCTACTTAATAGACACTACCTTAATAGCTCGGAGGTCCTTGGTTAGGACTTGAACCAGGGGTGAAATGCTCCCGGTTCGGATTGGATCGCCCGATCCGGATAGGGATAGCGGCAGGTAGTTCCGAGAACCGGTAGCAAACATCCCTCCCTCTTCCCATGCCCATCTGAGCCGCGCAATCGTCAGAAGCTTTTTTTTTTTTAACTTTTAAAAGCATTTTTTTCTACAAACTCTTTGGCCGAAGAGGTTGTAAAAAAAATTCTTTTAAAAGGTTCTGACAATCTCAGCTGAGTTGCCTGATCATCAGAGGCTTTTTTTTTCTTTTAAGCCTCTGATGATCAGGCAACTCAACTAGGATTGTCAGAGCCTTTTAAAAGCATTTTTTTTACAACCTCTTCAGAGATTGTAGAAAAAATGCTTTTAAAAGTTTTTTTAAAAGTTGGCCACGCCCACCCAGTCACATTAGCCCCCACCAAGCCATGCCCACAGAACCGGTAGTAACAAATTTTACATGTCACCACTGACTTGAACTGTTTATTTTCCCCAGTCCTAGACTGTGAATTGAATTGAAGATTAACCGCAATAATAACAACCCTAGACAAATGTTGCTCACGAAGTTTTGCTCTTATTCATAGGATTTTTCTTTTTAAAATAACTCCTTAAACCATCCTCCAAACAACAAAACCTACAAAATTCCAATGTTTTCTATTTAGTAGAGACATTTGTTTTGTGAACCAGGATAAATAATCACAAAGGTATTTATTTTGCGATCCAGAATTAATTATCTCGGATGGCATCCACGCTCTAAAGTTGATTTATTTCTTAAGCTTCACAGAATGTCAGTGTTTCGAATCTTCCATCGAAGCCAATCTCCAGCTGCGTAATGAATTGTATTCCTTGCCGATCAGCTAAGGACAGTATAACAGGTAAGATCTGCCTTTTCCAGCATACAGTAAAATGGGACTCTTTTCATCTCCCCTTTCAAAGGTATGCAGCATAAAAGCTCATATACAGTTAGTCCTTGATTTACAACAGTTTGTTTACTGACCATTCAAAGTTACAACAGCACTGAAAAAAGTGACTTATGATCGTTGTTCACACTTTTGACTGCTGCAGCATCAGCAGTTGTGTGCATGCACCAGCATGGTCATGTGATCAAAATTCAGATGCTTGGCAAGTGGCTTATATTTACGACGGCTGCAGTGTCCCAGGGTCAAGTGATCAGTTTTTTGCAATCTTCTGACCAGCAAAGTCAATGGGAAACCCAGATTCATTTAACAACCATGTAACTACCATAACAAATGCAATGATTCACTTAACAACTGTGGCAAGAAAAGTTGTAAAATGGGGCAAACTTGCTTAACGAATGTTTCACTTAGCAACATATATTTTGGGCTCCATTTGTTGTGGCCCGTCGGCTGCCAGCAGAGCTAGCAGCGAAGTCAGACAAGGAGGAGGGAGAGGGGGAGCCTGGGCCAGCTTTGGAGTCTTTGGAAGGCTCTGATGAGGAAGCAGAATCAGAGGCAGAGGCAGAGCCGGTGCCTTCCATCCACCCCAAGGTGAAGAGGCAGCTGTCTTCGGGCCTGAGCTGAGTGAGGCGGAGGAACAGATGGGGCCCATCCCAAATACATGTATGCGAGGAGAGAAGAGGAGAGGAGAGGAGAGGAGAGGAGAGCAACGGAAGGCAATAAGCCGGCTCTCAGGGAAAAGAAGTTGTAGATGCTAGCCAAACCCTCCCTGGCTGGGAAATAAATATTAGGAGTTTGGGAGTGGCCTATTGTCGCAGACAACTGTTTCGTTTTCCAGTGTACATCAATCAAGTCGGATTCCTTTGCCAGAAACAGGTTTGTCGGGACTAATTGCTTTGTATTTGAGGTGCCAAATACAGAGTCTTCCTGCTGGGAAATAATAGATAGTGAATTTGCCTCAGCCCATGTGAACAGGAACTGCTTCTGTTTGGCTTAATCATGGAAGGACTTATCTTGAGTTTTCATGTGAACAGAAGGGGAAAAGACTGTAATTTGTGACTAATTATTTTTGTTTTTTTCTATCCACATGAATAAAGACTATTCCTGCCCTGTTTTAAAAAGGGGGTTGTTTTACTTATGAGTAGGTGGTTTCTCATTGCTTGAGAAATGAGCAATGATTGTGGTCATAAACCGAGGACTACCGGTTTATCAACAGGTCACTTCTGTCTGTAGTAACTACACATTGCTCTGGTAGTGAGCATTGTTAGACAAACAGGGATCCAATTACCACATGAATTAAGCACAAAAAACCCAGGTTTCACCCATCCGGGCCTCGGACAGTATTCCCCTTCCTGTTTGTTTCTGCCTGAAGTAAGAAAAATAAACTGCTCACTATTTTTCTCTCTTTGGCCACAATCCAGCAGAAAGTGAAATGCTTTCTCCCAATATTAATAAGAGAGATGCTACCTAGCAGTGGTGCATTTCCAGATGAAATAAATTCAGATAGGCATGTATTTCAACTATATCCCATATCTCAACCCTATTAATACAGGTAGTCCTCAATTTACAATTCATTTAGTGGCCATTCGAAGTTACAATGGCACTGAAAAAAAGTGATTTATGACCGTTTTTTCACACTTATGACCGTCGCAGCATCCCCATGGTCACATGATTCAGATGCTTGGCAACTGAAGGCAACTGCCTCATATTTATGATGGTTGCAATGTCCCGGGCCATATGACTCCTTTTTGTGACCTTCTGACAAGCAAAGTCAATGGGGAAGCCAGATTCACTCAACAACCATACAACTAACTTAACAACGGCAGTGTTTCATTTAACAACTGTGGCAAGAAAGGTCGTAAAAAGGGGCAAAATTCACCTAACAAATGTCTCACTTAGCAATAGAAAATCTGGGGCTCAATTGTGGTCGTAAGTCAAGGACCACCTGTAACAAACTCACTTCCTGGAGGATGAGCTTTTGGAAGAGGAAAAGTAAATGAATCTTAGCAGGAATGTGTGGTCTCTCTCTCTCTCTCTCTCTCTCTCTCTCTCTCTCTCTCTCTCTCTCTCTCTCTCTCTCACACACACACACACACACACACACACACACACACAGACACACACACACCAGGATAAGCCAGAAGGATCCTGGTTTGAGACCTCAACTCTGAGTTCCAGGGTGTCTGTAGGGGCTAGTTTTCTGCATGTATTGTTGGTAGCTGAATAAGTAGCCATACAGGTAGTCCTAGATTTACGACCTCAATTGAGCCCAAAATTTCTGTTGCTGAGCAAGAAGAGTTGTTAAATGAGTTTAGCCCCATTTTATGACCTTCCTTACCACGATTGTTAAGAGAATCACTGCAGTTGTTAAGTTAGAAGAGGGGGGTCAAATTATTCTCCAAAGCACCAGAGGGCAGGACAAGAAACCATGGTTGGAAACTAATCAAAGAGAGAAGCAACCTGGAATTAAGGAGAAACTTCCCAACAGGGAGGACAATTAACCAGTGGAACAGCTTCTCTTCAGAGGTTGTGGGTGCTTCATCACTGGAGGTTTTTAAGAAGAGACTGGGCAGTCACTTATCTGAAATAGTATAGGTTCTCCTGCTTGAGCAGGAGGTTGGTCTAGAAGACCTCTAAGGTCCCTTCCAGTTCTATTCTATTCTATGCTATGCTATGCTATGCTATGCTATGCTATGCTATGCTATGCTATGCTATGCTATGCTTTGCTTTGCTATGTTATGCTACGCTACTCTATTCCATTCCATTCCATTCTAGTAACACAGTTGTTAAGTGAATCTGGCTTTCCCATTGACTTTGCTTGTCAGAAAACCACAAAAGAGGATTACCTGACCTCAGGACACTGCAACCGTCATAAATATGAACCAGTTGTCAAGCATCCTAATTTTGCTCACATGACCATGGGGATGCTGCACTGGTTTTAAGTGTGAAAACGGTTATAAGTCACTTTTTCAGTGCCATTGTAACTTCAAACAGTCACTACACGAATGGCTGTAAGTTAAGAACTACCGTACTTCTACTACATGGTTACGGAATGGAGGAATTTCCCCATTACTGGAATTCAGGTAGAGCAGAGGGTTAGTCATCCTTAGAAGGGCAGGGCATTTTAATCAAGGGCTCAGTTTTCTCCTTCTGAGAAGAAGGCTGGCAAGGCCCAAGGAGATTCTGGATCTGTAATGCAGACACACAGAAGTTTATTTGAATAAATACAACTAAGGGGAGAGGTGAAAAAGAGTGCTAAACATCAGGTTTACATGGCATATCTTTATACTGATTAATATTTATTAATCTGAGCAAATCAAGAAAGGGAGAGTGGGAACAATATTGAAATATTGACCTAAATTTTCCCCTTTTTAAATGGGAATTTTAAATTTGGTTTTAAATTATTGGGGTTTTAAAATGGTTCAGCCAAATTTATTTAATTTGTTTTATCTCTATTTTAAATTTTGTATCTATATGTTTTATTTTATGGCTGTTCACCTCCCTGAGTCCTTCGGGAGTAGGGCGGTATACAAATTTAATAAATAAATAAAATGACAGTCAAGTCTGCAATGCAAGGAAAGAAGACCTCTTAAAGCCAAATGTCTGACTGTGGAATCAGCATTTAAGCAATATATTGTAAGGTCCCAGAAGTTTCCCTGAGCCACTGAGATGCCAAAGAGAGTGTGACTCAAGACGAGGCTTGCAAAAAGAAGCAGATTTTATTTTTGGCCAAAACAAATTACTGGGTGAAACTATATCCAGAACATACAGACACAATGCATGTAAGGAATAGCCACACCTTGGGGAAAGTATGACATCCTTTTATACCTTCAGACATCAGCTTAGTACCCAATTCTGCCCCCCCCTGGCCCATGCCTTCCTTGTAGCCCTGCATTGGCCGTGCAGCAAGGAACAGGGGGGTTGAGTGCTTAGCAACAGAGGGGCTGGGTGCTTAGCAACACAGGTATTTGCTTGATGTAACCCTGCCAGGCCATGACATACCTCACCCCAGGCACTGAGTTGTACACAAAAACAAGATAACAGGAGTTAGATCACTGGTAGAAGCAAATGGCCGAGGCAATTCTAATTCTTACAGGAGCAAAGCAATTCTTACAGAAGTGAAATAGCAAGTTATTATTATGTCCCAGTAATTCTACCTATTCTACTATTATTATGTCCCTTCAATATATATATGCACACACACACAGACACACAGACACACACACACACAGAGAGAGAGAGAGAGAGAGAGAGAGAGAGAGAGAGAGAGAGAGAGAGAGAGAGAGAGAGAGAGAGAGACTGCAGATTTTGCAGAATGGGCATGATTTTTAAATAATATATGCAAGTGATAATGTATATATACCAATTACGAAAATTATGTGACTTCATAACATGCACAAAAAAAAAAAGCCTTCACGCTTTAAAAGGTGTATTGCTTAGGAGCAGAAAATAAAATAAATTTTAGTTTATGGAGCAAAAAAAACAACCATCATTTGAAATTAATTGATGTAATTGTCTATAATTTCTTGGCTAAATTTACCTTGCTCCCAAGGCTTTCAGTTAGAAAATCTTCATCTAATAATGAGCTAGGACTTTTTTTTTTTTCCCTAAGCCAACTTGCTTTTCTTGAGGATTAGCCAGCAGGTTTCCCAGGGATTAAAGAAACTGATTTCTTTTCTTCATGGATCCCACACCCTTTCCCTTACTGGAATAGGGCTTTTCTTTTCTTTTCTTTTCTTTTCTTTTCTTTTCTTTTCTTTTCTTTTCTTTTCTTTTCTTTTCTTTTCTTTTCTTTTCTTTGAAAGATAGAACTATCAGATTGTGAGCAAGCCTCTTGGACTTTCAGAAGATATAATTTCAGCATAACTTGGCCACCAGTTACAATATTTCTTATTAATTAATAAACCAGATGGCATCAGAAAGATGGTAATTCCTTCTTCCCTGCAACTTTTCTTTCTTCCACATAGCAAATCTGACTCTGGATCCGAACACAGCTCATCCCCAGCTTTACGTATCCTCTGATTTGAAAAGCGTGAGATGGAAAGACATGAAACAATATGTGCCCAGCAGTCCTATGAGATACGACGTTATGGCCAGTGTCATAAGTCACCAGGGCTTCAATTCTGGGAAGTGGTGCTGGGAGGTAGAGGTGGTGGAGGAAGGAGAGTGGTGGGGGGTGGGAATTGTTAGGGAAACTTCAAACAGAAACGGGCCGATTCTTTTCGATTCTCGTGGAGGCTACTGGGCAATTCAGCGAATTGATGGACGGTATGAGGCGGTCACCCATCCCAGGACGAATTTGACATTGTGCCATCCTCTGAAAAGGATCCGAGTTTCTCTGGACTATCCACAAGGCCTCTTAGCATTTTTTGATGGTGACACGAATGCCGAAATCTTTGCTTTTCCAAAAGAAAATTTTCACGGAGAGAAGATTCACCCATGGTTCTTGATCTATAAGTGGAATGGACAGCTTGTCCTTCACCCATGATATAGTGGAACAATGGGGTCATCATGCTGGAAGAGCTTCAGATTTCAATTCAATTTCTTTTGTCCTTCTTTTCCCTCTATCGCAGGGGTGTCAAATTCAATTTCATTGAGGGCTGCATCAGGCCTGTGGTTGACCTCAGGGAGCCAGGTGGGCATGGCCGACTGGGTGGGCGTGGCCAGCTTGATGCCACCTCCCAAACTGCTGGCATGTTTCTTCTTTGCATTGGGTAGACTGGGCCGAAGCCACACTGGCCCGATGTTTCCTCTTCGCATTGGGTAGACTAGGCTGAAGCGACTCAGGCTGGGCCCTTACATTTTCCAAGACGGCCTCATGGGCCGGATCCGACCACATCGTGGGCTGGATCTGTCACATGGACCTTGTGTTTGACACCCCTGCTCTATTGCCACCCCAAATGCCATCCATAACCACAAAGATCTCTTCTAGATCAACAATTTCCTGAACGGCAATAATTAGCTGTGCTTCAAAAATAACTTTTTAAAAAGTTTAATGAAAAAGAACTGGAGGCATAAATCATGTTTCAATCTTTCTCCTGAATTTGAGGATTGTGCCAAATACTTATTTGTGAGGGATCCTTGGTGGTCTCTGAGATTGGTTGTCTTCTTGCATTCTGGGCAGTGTCCAGCCAGCCAGCCATGCCTGCCCTCCCTCTGCAGCAGCCCACATGGATCCCGGGCAGCACAGCTTCAGGGTTTTTCCTGGCGGCGATGGCAGCATTGTTAAAAGCCACTGGGTGGCATGGAGGCAGGCAGGCAAGGGACACGGGCTCCTCCTCCTCCTCATGCCAGCCTTGCATTCCAGGCAGCGTCCAGCCAGCCAGCCATGCCTGCCCTCCCACTGCGGCAGCCCACATGGATCCCAGGCAGCAGAGCTTCAGGGTCTTTCTTGATTCTCCTTGTAGCACTGATATCCTTGGCTTTTGAAATCCAGCACTCTTGGATTTCAAGAGTGCTCGGGCTCAGCAGCTGGAGAAGCAGCGCTGGGTTTCAAAAGCCAAGCAACTCAGTGCTACAAGGAGAAGTGCCGCTCATCATTTCGTCACTTCCCACCTGGACTACTGCAATGCTCTCTACATGGGGCTCCCCTTGGGGTGCACCTGGAGGCTGCAGTTAGTCCAGAATGCGGCCGCGCGGGGGATTATGGGAGCGACGGGACGCTCACATATGACACCTCTCCTGCGCGAGCTGCACTGGCTTCCTGTGGTCTTCCGGGTGCGCTTCAAGGTGTTGGTGACCACCTTTAAAGCGCTCCATGGCTTAGGGCCGGGATATCTGCGAGACCGCCTTCTGCCACCAATAGCCTCCCACCGACCGGTTCGCTCGCACAGAGAGGGCCTCCTCAGGGCCAGACAGTGTCGGCTGGCGACCCCCAGGGGGAGAGCCTTCTCTGTGGCAGCACCTGCCCTCTGGAATGACCTACACCCTGAGATACGCACGATATCAGACCTCCGGACTTTTCGTCGGGCCCTAAAAACACACTTATTCCATCTAGCCGGGCTGGCTTGATCCCACCCTCTCAGTTTTAATTGAATTCGGTTTTAATTGGGTTGTTTTAAATTTTGGGCCGAAATTATTTAATTGTTTTTTAAACTGTTTTTAAATTTTATATGCTATGTTTTATCTCGGCTGTACACCGCCCTGAGTCCTGCAGGAGAAGGGCGGTATAGAAATAAAATAAAATAAAATAAAATAAAATAATAAAATAATAAAATAAAATAAAATAAAATAAAATAAAATAAAATAAAATAAAATAAAATAAAATAAAATAAAATAATAAAATAAAATAAAATAAAATAATAAAATAAAATAAAATAAAATAAAATAAAATAAAAAATAAATAAATCAGTGGTGGGATTCAAATTTTTTAACAACTGATTCTGTGGGCATGGCTTGGTGGGTGTGGCTAGGTGGTCATGTGACTGGGTGGGCATGGCTTGGTGGGTGTGGCTAGTTGGTCATGTGACCAGGTGGGTGTGGCTAGTTGGTCATGTGAACAGGTGGGCATGGCTAGGTGGTCATGTGAACGGGTGGGCATGGCCAACTCGACATCTTGCCCTAAGGACAGTTTTATGTATAAAAAAAGATATATCAAAAGATAGTTTATTATTAGTTTATTATAAAAGTGGTACACAAAACTAGATTGTTACAAGAGTTTTAAAATATTAATGAAAAACTATTAAATACTTAACAAAAAACAATAAAACTTATTTAAGGTATTGCCAAATCGCAGTTTTATTGGCATCCTCAATTGCCTCTTTTTTCGCTTTCGCGCGAGCATCATCAGCACTGTGATTTGCTCTAAACCACTTCTTAACTACAGGAATAGGGTCCCATTTCTGTGGCGGTAGGCCAATTAAATTTATGATCATTAAGTTGGTTATATTAGAAACGGTTAGGCGACTTCTGCTCTCTGAACATATGATGTTCATTTGTGAAAAACCCCTTTCCGCTTCCGCTAAACTTACAGCAATTGTTCTGCCAATAGCTTTAGTTTTTTTAATACTGTTACAGGATTTGCATATTTCTCGGAATCTTTCAAAACATTTTCTATAAAATCTCTAAAATCATTGATACTAATTTTGTAATTAAAAATGTCACTAAATGCATCCAGTTCTTTTTCAGCTGCTTTCCATGGAACTACTACTTCTTCAATATTCCAGTAATCTGGCTCCAAAACATTTAGAAATTGTAATTTATTTATCTTGAAATTGGCTATCTGTTTTTAAATGTTCACAATCCATTAGTCTTTTCTTTAAATTTGTTATGATGCTTTCTAAAAGTCTTTCCCGAGGAAGACTAACAAATCAATGATTTTCTACTAATTTTATATGTTTGAAGGTTTCTGAAGTAATTAATCCATCAACTTTTTGTTTGTATGCACCCTTTTCCTTTCTAAGCATTTCAAATGCTTTAATTTATTTTATCACCAATTTTTCAGCCTTTATGATGTCTGTATTTCTTGCTTGCAGTGCATTGGAAAGAAGAGAAATTTCTTCTAGAATATTGATCATCAATGCCAAATCAGTGATAAAATGTATATTTTCAAGACGGGCAGCCATACCTAAGTATTTTTGATTTGAATGAAAATAGTGATGTAACACTGGATAAACTCGCCACACAGCTAGGATTGACCTTAAACTACAGGCAGCCCATCTTGATCCAAAAACTCTACCAATCTTTATGATGTCAATTTCAAGTTCTTCGGATATTTTGTTAAGTTCAATTTGGTTCTTATTGGATTGATGAAAAATAGCATATATCTTTTCAATAAATATTTTAAAATGATTTATTTGCATTATTTGCTTTATGGAGTCATCTAAAACAAGTTAGAGACAATGGTCTAAGCAGTGCCATATTATGATGTTTGGAAACTCTTTTGCTATTCTAGTGCTCACTCCAGATTTTCTCCCAAGCATAACGCTGGCACCATCAAAGCAAAATGCTATTAATTTTTTTTGTAGGTAGTACTTAGTAAACCCAACATTTTTAAAACTTTCCATAAGTGAAGAACACATTGTCTCTGCATCTTGTTTTTCCAATTCAACTAGCTCAAGGAAAATTGTTGGTGGAGTTAACTGAATCCTCAACTTTTAAGTAAAGTATAAGAACTGATTTGCAAGATATCGTTGAAGCTTCGCAATAATTAAATGTATTTTCAGATTTTTTTTCAATAATTTTAGTAAATAATTGTTTTTTAATGTCTTTTGCAATGAAATCAACTATTTTCACTGCAGTTTTATGTGAATGCGATCCTATTCCCAGATCGACTCCATTTTTAATTTGTGATTCTATTGCAGCTTCTACATCAGAAAATGGTTTTAATCTTTGGGCCAGATTGTAAACTATGTCGACAAGTACTACCTAAATACATCTCTGTCATCTTGTCCAGTCCTTTATTAATTGCATCCTGCTCACACTGCTTCAACTTCTCTGTGCAAAAGGTGTGAGCTTTGGATGAGAAGTGCTCTTTCATCTTTTTCCTAAGAGAGGCCTATTGCGCCTCTTTACTTTTCCCAGCAGCCTCCATTTCGAAATGTTTCCACTCCTTAGCTATAGATGAAAATGTGATTTAAAAAATATTAGAATGGATAGATTAGAACACTTAAAATTAAGGAGAAGGAAGAAACTGAATACTTCTTAATGTGGGATTTGTTTTATCAATGGCTAACAGAAACAGAAGTTAGAAATCTAAAAGTATAAAAGAAAAGACCAATTATTTAAGGAAAGTTCACTAAAATGGATAAACAATTATTATTAGTATGTGATCATTATTAATGTTATGAATATTATTATTATCATTATCATTACACAAAATTAACTGTACCCAACTGTACACCATGTAAATAGTGAATTTTTAAATTAATTTAATTTATTTAAAATTTATTTTAAAAATTTGCTTATTAAAAAAAAAAGAGCAACTTACCCAAGGCAGGCAGGTCACCATGGTAGGCAGATTCAGGGAGGCTCGCAGGCAGATCAGACCAATGGCATTGGGCTGCACGAAGCAAGGCAGCAAGTAAGATGGAGGCAACTTTTAAAATATTATTTCCCTTCCATGGGGATCGCTGAGAAGGTCACGGGGAAGGGAGTAGAGAAGGCAGGCAGGCAAGACCAGAGACATTGATGCGGGGCAGATAGCTAGCTAGGCCGCATCCCATGTGCAATGGAGATATGGCAGCGGCGGAGCTAGCCAGGCAAGGCCGGGGACATAGGGGGGGCAGCGCAGCAGCCAAGGCTGATCCGGGAATCAGTGCTCGACTGGGGCTGGCGGCGGCAGCAGTGGAGGAGGCAGGTAGGCTGGGCTGGGCTGGAAGTTGATTTGATGACCGGGGCTGCTTGTGGTGGCCTAGGCCAGCCTGGGAGTCAACTCGACTGGGGCTTGCTGCTTGCTTGCAGGCTCACCTGGAGGAGATCAGGGCTGCGGGTGAAGTCAGGCAACAATGGTGGGTGAAGGCAGGTTACTATCAAGAGCCTTGATAGTACAGGGGTTTAGTGCACCCTGTTATTAACACAGCTGCCTGCAATTTCTGCTGGTTCGAATCTCTCCAAGGCTCAAGGTTGACTCAGCCTTCCATCCTTTCTAAGGTAGGTGAAATGAGGACCCAGTTTGTGGGGGCAATAAGCTGACTTTGTATAAAATATACAAAAGAATGAAGGCTATTGCTTAACGCATTGTAAGCCGCCCTGAGTCTCCGGAGAAGGGCGGCATATAAATCAAATTAAAAAAAAAAAAATTAAAAAAAAAAAAGGCAGGTTAGCAATGGTGAGCAAGCGGTTGAGTGGGTGAGATAAGTAGTGACTGGGCGGGAAGGGGTGGGAAGGGGCGGGGCCAGCCACTGGTGCAATTTGCTGATTCTCCAAACTGCACAAAATCGTAACAACCAGTTCGCCCGAACCGGTCTGAACCGGCTGAATCCCACCCCTGCCGCTTGTCCATCAGCAAGAGGCCTGGGAGGAGAGTATTCAGCCGGCATTCAGAGATAAGTGGGAATCTCTGATAAGCACGGGAAGTTCCAGGAAGCAGCAGGAAGTGGCGCGGGTGAAGGAAAGTCCACGCACGGCTAGGTGTGCTTGGCAGCAGGAGGGGGCATGGCGCAATGGGGCTGGTTTGTTCCTCCTTACCTTGCACTGCCCACTTTGTTGCCCATTTCGCCATTGCAGCCACAGAGCTTTCCCTAAATTCCCCAATGATTTCTTTGCTTACCTGATTTCCAGCTCCATCGCGTTTCTTGCCATCGTGTGCAGGGAAACAAAAGTTTGTGCAGGGCTAAAAAAAAGTTCGATCAATCAGTTCTAATTTATCACAAAAGATAAAAATCTCACGAAGTTGGAATTGATTGAGTGAATTTTTTTTCTTAGTCCCATGAACTTTTCTTTCTCTGCACACGATGGCAAGAAACATGACAGAGCTGGAAATCAGATAGGCAAAGAAATGCTTTGGAGAAGTGAGGGCAACTGGGTAGTGATGGGTGGGAAAACTCTTCTGCCCGCAAAGAGAAGAGAAGGGGGAAGAGAAGAGACAGCTGGAGGAGCTCTGTCTCACTTCACGTGCCCCATTGAAAGGCAGTGCCAGCCCAGCCGCTTCCTTTCCCCGCAAAGAAGGCAGCCAAGCATGGCTGGGCCATGTGGAAGGGAGCAGGGAAGGCAGGTAAGCATAGCTGGACAGCGGGCTGTATGGAAAGGAATAGGGAAGGCAGGGAAGCAGGCCTGGCCACAGGGAGTGCCGGGAAGACGGCAGGGAACATGGCGGGGCTGCAGGCCATGTGGAAGGGAGTAGAGAGGGCAGGTGGGGACAGTGGGGGGAGGCAGCTAGCTAGGCTGCAACTCACAGGCTTACTTACCCAGGCAGGCAAATCAGGGCCGCTCAGTTGGGCCACAGGCACCATGTAGGAAGGCAGGCAAGCCTCAGGGACTGTGTGATCGATGCAAGCGAGGAGTCACAGGGTATGCTATGCTGGGGAGGTTGAGATGAGGAGTGACTGGGCAGGGCAGGGTGGGGCGGAGTGAGCAGGAGGGCAGGGTGAGTGGCAAGCGGTGAGCAGGGGAGGGGCCAGCCAGAGGTGATATTTGCTGGTTCTCCGAACTACTCAACATTTCTGCTACCAGTTCATCTGAACCAGTCTGAACCAGCTAAATACCACCTTTAATATAAGCCAGTTGCCAACTATCCAAATTTTTATTACAGAACCATCAAAAGCACATGGTTCTGGGCAGCTGACCACGTGGAGTTGAGAGAGGGGATATTTATACCTTGCCTTGGGCTTTGCAC